GGGGGGGCCCATTGCAAGGAGAGAAGCAGTAGTTTTGATTGCTCAACGTGGAAAGAGAGTGCATCGCCTATTTTATTTTTTTAATCAAAATAGTTCACAAGGAAGAGTTCAAAGAAATTGTCTTAAACCTGAGCAGAAGACATTTAAAATGATGAATGGGGGCTTAAATTGGTAAGGGTTAAATGGAGGAGAAACCACTTTACTGTGTTCACGGAAATGACAGAGAACGCTGTCACCCCAGGCAGCCTGTCCCCCGCAAGCTGTATCAAAGCGGCTTTGGAGAGGAAGTCCCCTTTGTGGCCATGTCACTTCTCGGTGGCAAGGTGACAACTCCTGACATCAAGAACACTTTCCAGTTTTTAACTCTTAGGTGATTCATCTGAAGCATTATCTAAAGGGAAGAAGCAAAATGAGACATTGTCATAAAACATTTAACACTTACGGTCGTGAAAAGTATGTTTTTCATTCAACTCCAAGCTTATGGATGTTGTTCACTGTGAGAAGAAATTTGACATCATGTAGAAATCCTTATGGAGGCATAATATTCCATATAAAATTTCCAGTTATAGTTTCTGAAGACCTTGACATTTTTCAATGCTTTTGAATGAAGCAGAATTTTGGAAAAATCCATTCCCAGAATATTTCTTTGTAAATCTCAATATTTAGTACCTATCTTTCCAGCTGATATTCAAGACATGGAATTCTTTGAGTTGCTGTCTCCCATTTTTTCTGACATGAATAAAATTATTTTCTCCCCTAACTGCATTAGAAAGTCAATAAACACAAGTATATATTTAGACAGAATTTGAGCTTCAGGAAGTTCAAGTATGATCCTAAACACACTAACCTGCTGCTGCTGATTCCATGACATGTTTGAGTCAGAAATGCTTTAAAAGTTGAGGCAACAATTAAGACTTCTTATGTCTACTCAAACCAGAAGCACCGTTTGGCTTCAGTTAGGCTTATTTGACTATTACGCTCTTTTGATGGTGGAAAACCCATGTAATACGCTGTTTTCCTAAATTTAGGCTGGTTTTGATTTACTAGTATAAATATGTACACATTCCGTGTATTTATATACTTAGAATGGTTTGTGTATTACCTACATTGCAACAGCAGCATTTTTAGAATTATTTACAATTTATGGAAATACAAAGTTAAAGTCAGTAAGGATTTGGTGGGGGGGAGTAACTACAAGAAAAAGATTAAACAGTTGGATCTGACAAGTTTTACCATTTAGTCATAACTGTGTGGCATAAAACTGTGCAGATAAGAGAGCAGAGGCCTAACAGGTTGATGTAATTGTGATGAGCTTTGAAGACTGCTCCACCCACAGTGATTTTTCTGAGAACAGTAGAGGCCTTGGCAGAAAAAACAGCCATGTTTTTTCACCACACGACCCTGCACCCCTGGCCAGAGGTGATTAGAGCAGGGTTTCTGCCTTACTCTAGCTCCTTCTGTTTCTCCTGCCCATTAATTTGGAATTAGCCTCTGCATGTAGCTAGTAATAAAACGCATAAACTGTAGGGTTTGGGAGTGGGTTCAGGGATACAAAGAAAAAAAACTGCAGAGAATAAAGAAATGTAATAGATATTCAGAGAAAAGCAGTCAGGAGGGACTACATAAGGCCCAGGGGGAATGAAAGGGTGGGTGGTCCCAGGTCCTAGGAAGGCCAAGCTGCCTTGTGTTCTATGAAACACTCCTGTGTCCTTCCAATAATCTCCTGTTCTGACTATCCAGTTTTAGCTGCAAGCAACAGAACCTTTTGTCAGACAAAGCACCCTTTGTTAGAGGCTTCAGTATTCAGGCTGTGGTCAATCTCTGCAAAAGGACTGGGAAGTAGGTGAAGATTTCTTGACACACTTCCCATCTCACCCCAGGATGCCCAGCACTCTTATTGCTTTGCCAAAAATTGCTCCTAATTGGCTCATTCACAATAAAATGCAACTGAGTGAAAACAGTTTGGTGTAAACTCTCCCTTCTGTGTGTTTGTTTTTCCCCAAGATCAAAGTCATATGCTAAGAGGGAAAGATCAATAATTATCAGATGGGATGAAAGCTGTCCTGGAATCTCTGAAGCCACTCGTGGTAATGTCTCCTCCGTCTTAAATGCAGAATGCACTGGCAATTTACGTTAGCCCCTAAGAGCTGTTGCACCGCACAGCTCTAGAAAGTTCCATTTGCATGTGTTCTCGAAGAATGTTAGTCCTGCTGACATTGCTTATTTCTTTGAACTTATGGCTTCTCTTGAGTTCAAAGTAATACCTCACACGAGGTTTCCATGGCCTTCACTCTAGTGCTGCTCTGGGGTTGGGTGAATCATCAAGCCCAAGTAGAATGAAGCATGTTGGAGCAAACC